AGAACATTGTTCCAACAGGGCGTGATCACCGTCGGTCAGGCCACGAGGAGATAACATGGCGGGCGACCCGTTGGGACTCTTTTCCGTAGGTAGCCTGTCTTAGCTGGGCGGAAGAAGAGGTTGCAGTTCCCGGAGGACGGGTACAGTTGAGTCACCTGGGGCTGAAGTCAGTCAGAAACAACGTCGTCTGACACTCCAACAATGGTATAGATACCTTTCCTTTGATGCGGTGCTGGTTCTCCAACAGAGTCGCTATCGGTTAACTGTTAGTGTAGTCGGTCCCTTGCGGTCGCCCTCTGCTGGCTGGCCAATGAGTATTCGTACCCAAGGGGATGATGTGCTGGTCCCCTCTCCCCCGAGCTGCTGCCAGGCACCCCAGTGCCCTGGGCTTTGCAGCTGGCCTGGCTGGTACGGCGTGCGGTTCCGACCGGCGAACGCTCGGGTTAGGAATGGAAGGTAATTCTGATCAATGTTTGTATTCGCAGGTACGCTGTATGTACGTATGCGTCTTGGCGGCACGCATGCCTTGCCATGTCAAGATGGCTAGCACTCACCGTAGGACGTCGACGAGAAGTAAGCTTTCGATGCCGCCAGCCACCAGCTCTGCGGAGAGATCTGTATTCGTAGGTAGTGTATCCAACCTCCTGCCCCTCTTCCTGCTTGCTCTCATGACGACGGCCGGGACAAGTACTCGCACGCTGTTTCTGTACTCACCTGGAAAAGCACACGCCGTAAAAAGGACTCTCCATGCCGCCCCCCTGGTCGGAAACCCCATGTCTGACCTGTCTGACCTGTCTAGCCCTGCACTCGCGGACGAACTAGCCTCCTTCTGTGCGCTGCAACCCTTCGATTCCTTCCACCGGCCTCCACCTTCCCTCCACTGACACCGTCGATTGTGGACTGCCTGGTGGGGCACCTTCCTCTGTGCCTCGCCCTCCCCCCGTCCCTTCTTCCCCCCACCACCCTATCACCACCACCACCTGCGTGTGCCTGCCTTACCTAAGGCACCTTCCATCAGCGGGTGGGTGACCTTCTAGCCCGTCCTTTCCCACCCGCACCAGTTCGCAGCCGCTGTCTGCCAGCCTCTCCACCGTGTGTCGCAGTCGCCGTCGCTGTCGGTTTCCTGCCGCTTCTGCTGGGGAGGCTGTCGCTGATTGCCCGTCCCGCGACACCGTCCAGTGCTGCCCGTTCCTAAGGTACTCCCCTCTGCGCCGCACCAAGGCACCTCGCCTTCCAACACGCTGTCGCACCCTCTCGATTACTGCCCGGGCCTGTCCAATCCTGTCCCGATCCTGTCCTGTCGGGTCAGTACTTAGGTACAGGAGGTACCTTAGTGCCCCCAACCCACAACCTCGCCTCCGTCCTCCTTGCTCTTGCGGACCAGACCAGGTACCACCAACCCCAGGTCCCCAAGTCCAAATCCCTCTCACACCCAGTCTACCTAACTACTTCTGCGTACGCCGTTATTGCTGCTTTCTCCATCTCCCGCATTGCCAATCTCTCTCCTCCTTCCTCACGATTTCCCTACTTGCTGCCAACACGGCTTGGTCTATCTTTCTTTGTCCAGGCAGATGCTTCCACCGCCGTTGGCATCCAATCTCCCCTGACGTCTCTTCTTCCTCTCTTGTCCCTCCACAGACCACCAACTCTTCGGCCGAATCCCCGAGCGACCCTTACTACTCTGCGCCACAGTCGCGCGCACCGCTCGAATCCGCCCGATTCCTCCAATATACCTCTCCCCGCAGTTCACTCATAGCCATATCATTCAACCCGAGCCCAATTGTCTATCGCATGTTTGACTTCGTTTCCTTTGCCCGCCCCCCCGTGAGCTTGTCTCGCGCGAATAATCCACCGACAACCACCCCGTAACTCGCCCGCTGCCCTCTCTAACCAGCCTTCGACAAAAGTCGCCAACATGGCGGGCTTCTTCAACAAACTGAAGAATGCGGGAAATGTGCGTACCAAATCCCTTGGAATTCAGCCCGCGCCCTTTCCGCCGCCGCGTCCCGTTCTCACATGCTGGCCTTTGCGCGACTTCGCCGTTGCTGACAGAGTGCCTGCTTTCTAGACAACCACAAGCCCAGCGACCAAAGATGCGCCCAGCAAAAAAGCCGGCAAGGAGGAGCCAGCTCCCGAGCTTACCCCCTTGGAAAAGATGCTACAGAACGCTGGTCCATTGAGGGAAGATGGCACCGACAAGTTCTTCGGCCTCGAGAATGTAAGTCCTCCAAACCCCACCGGTGTCTGCACCGGCTTTTCCGAGACGACGAATGCTGATCAATCGTATAGTTTGGCAATACCTGGTATGCCACTTTGTCGCTTCTCCCGGCTCTTTCGCTGATCTTTGTATAGCTACTGCAACTCGATTGTACAAGCGCTCTTCTACTCCGAATCCTTTCGAGACCATGTCGTCAAGTATCCGCCCTTGTCGCCTACCGATACCCCCAACGGAACACGACCGAAGGTCAACGTGACCATCCGTCCGCCAGTCGCGAAAGAACCCCCAAATGCCCCAGGCACGAAACAGAAAGGCCTGAGTGCCTCGGAGTCGATGAAGCGCAGACAAGCTATAACCGCAGGAATGCCCCCACCAGGCGCTCCTGGCACACGTCCCGAAGACAAGCCCGACTCGCCCGAATACAAGAAGAAGCAGGCGATGATCAAGGGCCCGATTCTGGAGCTGGCCCAGGAAAACCCCTCAGCATACGGGATGGAGGAATGCACCTTCACCGGGCTCAAAGACATCTTCCAGGCCCTGATTGAGAGCAACACCAGAACGGGCGTGCTCAGCCCGCAGCGATTCCTCGAAATTTTCAAGAGAGACAATGAAATGTTTCGAAATTCCATGCATCAGGACGCTCATGAGTTCTACGGTCTGGTCTTGAACGACGTCATATCCAACGTCGAGACCAACGCCAGGCGGATCCAGGAGCGAGAGGCTGAAAATAGGGACGGCTTGGTTCAATCAGTGGAGAATGCTCTTGGTGCCACGAGCCTCATCAATCGCCCTGTCAACGGCATGGGTTCTCCTGGAACCGGCTGGGTTCACGACATTTTCGAGGGAGTCTTGACGTCGGAAACAAAGTGTCTGACTTGTGAGACGGCCTCACAACGTGACGAGACTTTTCTGGACCTATCCATCGATTTGGATGAGCATTCATCAGTAACGTCATGTTTACGCAAATTTTCTGCCGAGGAAATGCTCTGCGAGCGCAATAAGTTTCACTGCGATCATTGCGGCGGTCTTCAGGAGGCTGAAAAGCGAATGAAGATTAAGCGTTTGCCCAAGGTCTTGGCGTTGCACCTAAAGCGCTTCAAGTATACCGAGGATTACAGCCGGCTGCAGAAGCTTTTCCACCGAGTCGTGTATCCCTACCACCTTCGCATGTTCAACACCACCGATGACGCCGAGGACCCGGATCGAATGTACGAACTGTACGCTGTTGTAGTTCACATCGGAGGTAATGCCTATCACGGCCACTATGTTTCAGTCATCAAGACCAAGGACCGTGGTTGGGTCCTTTTTGACGACGAGATGGTGGAACCGGTCGACAAGCACTTCGTTCGCAACTTCTTTGGCGATAAGCCCGGCATGGCTTGCGCGTATGTTCTCTTCTACCAAGAAACCACCTTCGAAAAGGTGCAGGCGGAGATGGAGGCTGAGGGTGCGGAGGAGGTTAAGATCGCGAACGAAACCGCAAACGTCGCACAGGAAAACGGCCAGGTCAACGGTACGAATGGCACTCCGAACGGCACTGCACCTCTTTCCAAGCAGTTTACACAGCCCGTGAGCCCGATTGAAGAGCGTGATCCGATGCCCGGACTTTCTCACGCTCAGACTGCGCCCGGTAAAGTGGATGCGCCAGAGGTCCCGCCGGTACCGCCCACACCCGCTGCTCCTGCGATACCTGTTGGCATCACCAGATCTAACACGGCAGCCAAGAACGAAAAATCAAAGGATGAAAAAAAGCGGGAGAAGAAGGAGCAAGAGGCTGCCGAGAAGGCCCGGAAGCAGGCTGAAAAGGACAAGGCGAAAGAGGAAGAGAGGCAACGAAGGGAGAGTCACGCCCGGCGGAGAGAAGCTTATCAAAAGGAACAGGACGAGCTGCGCCAGGTTCTGGAGTTAAGCAAGAAAACTGCGGAAGAACAAGAACCGAAGAAGAAGGAACCCTCTGGCACGACGAGCTTCCTCAACAGGTCTAGCCGGGCAAGCAAGTCGATGACTCGAAAGAGCTTCGGGTTTCTCAGCAAGGACAAGGATAAGCCTGAATCACCGAGGCCGACAGAGAACGGTCATAATGGCACCGATGGCGCAGCAAACCACGCAGACAAGCCCAAGGAGCTGAGAGAGCGGTTCAGTTTCAATCTAGGCAGGAAGAAGAGCGGAAACCTGCTGTCATGAGGCGGCGCATTAAATACTGTTTGACGACTCACCTCAAGGTTTCAATTTCTCCTTAGTACATATCACAAAAAAGGAGTCGATAGGGAGCTGTTTTGTACGATGGACACAGTACATCGCTTCCTGCCCTGGTGCAGGTTGCGACCAGCCCCACGAACGGCTCCAACGGAGGAAACTCTGGGCGCGAGCAGATACCCGAGCATGGTGCGGTTAGCTTGGATAATATTCTTTTTCACATAATGAGGGCGACTAGGTTCAAGGCCACATTTGATGGAGTCATGAGCGTTGCTTTTGACAACACCACGCCGAACTGTATGATAGCGCAAGACGGTATCAAAGATTCAAGACCCAGAGCTGCAATCCTCTGAAGAGGCAGCCTCCGAGGAATAAGGTTGCAAAGCATTTGCCCTTCTCAACATCATGACATTATATTGCCGCGCCGTGTTGTTTTTAATTTCCTGGGCAGTGATGCCCCTTCGATGACCAAAACCACCCGCTGCCAACCCCCAACGCCAGTTCGTTACGATGATGCCATGCTGTGAAAGGTCCAAGCCGTTTGATATACACAAAGAATAAGCGGATCCGCCGGGTCTTCGTCCGTCTATCCGAGGATGAGCTCGTAGAAAATGATGAGGGTGTTGATCGCTATTAACGGTACTGCAAAGTGGGGGACGTCAGCATCTCGCCTCCCGAAGCTCCCAATCAGTCTGGCGGGTATGGTATACGTACTTCTCATAAGCGTCCGCACGCTGGCAATCAGGTTGATGATCTTGGCCTTAACACTCGCATCGGTGCTCTGACCGAAGGCTGGGTCGTAGGACGAGGGGGACAGGTTGACTGTTTCGGGAGGTCATTAGCTGAGCCGTTCGTCTTGCGCATCCGCTTGTACTCCAAGGAGGGTAGACGGAGGGGGGAACGAGGAAGGCCGTACTGCGCGCGAGGAAGCGGTCTTCGGAGAGGACGGCGATGGCGTTGATGAGGAGGACAGCGACTGGAGGGGGTTATTGTGGTTAGCGCAAGCTCTCTGAAATGGCGAGGGATGTGTGCGCATACTGTAGAGAAAGTTTCCTAGGATATACATCTTAACGGCGGTTATGGGCGCAAGCCAACTTGTTGTGGAAAAGAAGGCTTTCTAGGGGGGAGGGCTGGTTTCGTTGCGATCGTGGGGTAAGGGGCAGTATCCAGCAAGACGAAGCTTGGGAATTTGGGGCCAGGTGGTGATGGTGGTTGCGCGCTGCGCTTCGCTGTCCAGACCTGGAGCTTACCTTGGCTCCAATGCGTGATGGAGATGGACTTGATCCGTTCCGATGATCCCTGTCTGTGGTGCCTGCTGCCAGTAGGGTGCCTGTGCCTACTGCCAGTAGGGTGCCTAATTCAGGTACCGCCTTGGGGGGGAGGAAAGCTGTCCACAGCTGCTGTGTGTGCCTGCCGCTCGCTGCTGGGCTCCAATTGCTTGCATTGCATGAATGTCTTTGGGCCGTGCACGGACACTCAGAGCTGTGGTGGGTAGGTGCAAGACGACAGCTTACACTTTCAATCGGTGAACCTGACCTGTCCTGCCTGAATGAGAGCTCCAAGTTCGCGAGAAATATCATCAGGAAACTCGGAAGGCATTGAGATGAAAAGGAGCACAGGGCAAATCGTTTCACAACTTGGACTTTTTGCATCTCCTGACGATCCTCCTTTCCTCAGTACAGATATGAAATAAACCACATTTCACAATCCTTCTCTTCTCATTCCTTCCCTTCTCAGTACCTCCCGCCCTAAAAGTACACGCACCCCTTGACGCGCTCACAATGAAGCTCCTAGGTATCTACAGCTCCTTCACGCATCCTCCCTCCTGTTCAAACTTTGGAAACAAACAAGACTGACACGGCACTAGACATTGTCCTTCTGGGACTCATCCCTTCTCTAATCACCATCCATCTACTCCTCTCCCCAGACACAAAAGTAGAGGAATCGTTCAACATCCAAGCGACTCACGATGTTCTCGTCTACGGCACACCAACCAGCGACATCGCTTCCCGCTTCCGCGCCTCCTACGACCACTTTGACTTTCCCGGCGCCGTTCCCCGCACCTTCGTCGGTCCCGTCCTCCTCGCAGGCATCGGCGGTCCCATCGTATCTCTCGTCGGCTTCGCACACGCCCAACTCGTCGTCCGCTTGCTACTGGGTCTCGCAAATGCTGCTGCGCTCGTCCTCTTCGCTCGCAGCCTGGGCAAGGGGCTGGGCTTAGATGTGCAGCGGTGGTGGATTTTATTGCTTGCTAGCCAGTTTCACGTCATTTTCTACGCGTCGAGAACGTTGCCCAACATGTTTGCCTTCGCGTTGAGTGAGTACTCCTACGTTGATTATCGTTGCCGCAGTAAAACTAACATGACGGAAAGCAACTCTCGCCTCTGCAAACCTCCTCCCCCATCCTAATCCCCGGATCTCATCCCCGCGCCAGCGCGTTGCCGTCTCCCTCCTCGTCTTCGCCGCCGCAATCTTCCGCTCCGAAGTCGCCCTTTTGCTCGCCACTACGGGCCTCTACCTCCTGCTGACGTCGCAAACCACGATCCCGCGCCTGATCCGTCCCTTCGCAGTGAGCTTCACCGTCGCCCTCGTCGTCTCAGTGCCCCTGGACTCGTACTTCTGGCAGAAGCCCCTCTGGCCCGAGCTCTGGGGCTTCTACTACAATGCCGTCCTCGGCTCCTCCTCCAACTGGGGTGTCTCGCCGTGGCACTTCTACTTCACATCCGCTCTCCCTCGCCTGCTCGTCAACCCCCTGACTTTCATGCTCCTCATCCCCGTAGCTCTGACCCAGCCAGGGACATCCAACGTAGCCCGCGGCCTCGTTATCCCCTCTCTCCTCTTCATCGCAATCTACTCAATCCAGCCTCACAAAGAAGCCCGCTTCATCTTCTACGCCGTCCCGCCCCTGACGGCGGCGGCCGCCCTCGGCGCAAACTACATCTTCGCCCGTCGCACCAAGTCTCTCGTCTTCGCCCTCGCCTCCTCAGCCCTCTGTCTCAGCATCCTCGCCGCGTTCGCCGCCTCAACCGGCATGCTTCTACTCTCCTCCCTCAACTACCCCGGCGGCGACGCCCTCCGCCAGCTCCACGCCCTCGTCGGCTCCGGCCCCTCACCGGGCAAGAGCCCCGCCAGCTCCTCCGTGACGGCCGTACATACGGACGTGCTGAGCTGCATGACGGGCGTCACCCTCTTCGGGCAGAACCCGGCCGGGCTGCCCAAGAACCCCCACTCGCGCGCTCTGGAGAACAGCCTCAACAGCGACGCGACGACGGCCGCCGCGGTGCCGGTCATGACCTTTGATAAGACGGAAGACAAGTCCGTCCTTGCGGACCCGGCATTCTGGTCGCGGTTCGATTACGTGCTTGCCGAGGACCCTGCGTCCGTCAAGGGGGGCCAGTGGGAGACTGTCGGCGTCGTGCAGGGGTACGCTGGGATCGAGATCCTGAAGCCTGGTGCCGTCGTAGCCGGGGAACAGGACACCGAGGAAGGAGAGAAGGTCCTCGGCAGAGGTTTGTGGGTCAAGAAGATTCGCGACAAGGCCAGGTCATTGACTGGTGGCTGGTGGGCTGGGCCGCGGATGGAGCCTAGAATCCGCATCTTGAAGAGAGTCAAGGACGCGGGTTCCGGAGCGAGGATTGTGTCCCAGTAAACGTCGATTTCATGAGCGTCGTCACATTTGTATTGCATTCACTAGACCAAGGGCTCCCTTCAGAAAGAAAGAAAGCGAGCCTCACAACAATGAATCACCAAAGGTGGAATAAGAACGTTTGATGAATGCCATGCTCTAAGCTCGGCTTCTTGTGAAAGGGGGAAAGGAAAAGAGTAAACACTATCCTACCACACGGCTGTTCGTAACCAGCCTTTAAACCCCGCGTATCCAATGCCCCGAGGAACTCTACAAGTATCCTGTTCCCGTCTGCTTCCAATGCGAACCAATACAACACACGTACACGTGCACACTTTTTTTTCCGTTTTCAATCGAAACCGCCGTGCTCATTGCAACCTAGCCTGCCCCCTGCCCCCTACCACGCGCCTACGCACGCAAAACACAAACAAGGACGAACAGAGCGGGCGTCGCGTCAGACACACCAGTCCCGTGCTCTCTCTCTCTCTCTCTCGTCCAGCCTTGTTCCCGAAGACCAAAATTGTCATCTCCGAGTTGAATCCTCCTGAACCAGTAAAACCCAATAGGTGTGCAACCCCAAGCCTAGAAACCAGGCACCAATCCGCTTCTCGCTGGCTGTTTCAGTGTCGTAATCGCATCTTACAGATATGGAATAAGTATATCAGAGCGCCGTATGCATCCCCATTGAAAGAATCGGGTATCCAGGTGTTAGGTTGATGTGGACGGAATCCGTCGTACGCCGTAGGTATATTATATATAAGTTATGCCGCCGCATGAGAATCATGAATCACGAAGGCTCGCTGCGCTTACTCTTGCTCCGTGTCGCTACCGTGGTCTGAGTCGCTCAATTCGCCGTAGAGGGCCTTGTATCTCGCTAGCTCGGCCATCTGCTTGGCGACCTGGTCGAGAATATCGCTAATAGGCGCCCGCATATCCTCTAGCTGTTCCAGAGGGGCACAGCCAATAGCAATGTGACGAAGTGACAGTGAAGTGACGCAAGTCTAGAAAGGATTATTAGCGACAAATCACACAGATTCTTCTCGCAAACAGAACTCACCTCTATCCTGCTCACTTGGTGCTCCATGAAGTTGAGCAGGAATCGCTCCGTCACCTCACCCCCCCGATGCTTCATCCTCTCCAAAAGCTCCGTCTCGGGGGGTTGCAAGCCACGGCCAGACACGTTCTCCAGCGAGCTGCACAGCATCTCCAGTCTCAAGCTGACGCGCCACAAGGCCCAAATAGACTCAGTGTCGAACGCCAACTCGCTACCAGCCTGCAAGATAGCGGGCTTATCAACTTCGACGCGAGTCTCTTGCTGCTGGTGGTGATCGATGCGTCCCGCAAGAGCGTGTGGGTAGAGCGAGTACACCACTTCCGGGTTTTCAAGACCCTTCAACTTCTTCTCTCCCATCTCCTTCACCTCGAAACCCTGGGAGCTGAGAGACCGTAAGTCCTTCCGTATCGTAGTAGCAAAGCCCTGGTCATCATCAAACGTGTCTTCAGAACCTGTCGAGACATTCCTGTCCGTGTCTTGGTAGCTCTCTAGGCAACGTTGGATCTCCGAAATGAAGTCGGACGAAACAGTGATTTGGCCTCCATCAGCAACCGACGAGATACGGGAAGCTTTGTTCACCATGGGTCCGAAGTAGTCCATACGCCTGGTGACGGGGTCCATCTCGCTGACGGCTTCGCCGTAGTGAATACCCATGCGAACGGAAAGACCCTTGAAGATCAAGGCGTTGTCTTTGTCATATAGTGCTTGACAAGAGACGGAGTTGAGGACCTCGGAAGGCCAGTTGACATCCAACAGCGACATCTGTACCGCAAAACACCACAATAGTGCCGAGGTGGCCGTCGGGAATGACACCATGAAGGCATCTCCTTCAGTCTTGACCTCGTAACCGCCGATTCTTCGCAATTGCCTGCGCATCACCTCGTTGTGCAGCTTGATGGCGGATCTCATCGCAGCTGGGTACATCTCCCACAATGTGGTAGAGTTCTTGATATCGGTAAATGCGATAGACACGTTGCCAGTAGGCGCTGGAATCTCGGCTTCGAGTCGCTGCAATGTTGAGTCCAGCACGTCACCCTTGTTCCTCTTGCCACGACGCGGAAGCTGCTGTAGATCGTTGGGAACACCTGAGGGGTACAGAGACATGCTCTGCCCACGATGAAGTCTGGATCGTTCGACTCTCCTCTTCAAGTCAGACACGCTCATCATCATGACCATGATCTTGTTGGTGGCGCCATAGGCGATTGCGAGATCACGAAGCTTCTGTGATGCCCGCATCAGATCGCCGCGTTCTTGCCTAGCAAAGTCGACGACCAACGCGGGGTCCAAGTACTCCCAAAACTCCCTGGTGGCAATCAAGATGATGTCGTCTTGCTCTCGAATGGTAATGCTGCTGACGTAGGGGGCGGCCTGAACGGACGGCATGAGC